GGTGACCATCCACATCTCCTTAAATTCTAAATGGAATTGAATATGGGTAGATTTTATTTTATTATTATATTTTCTATTTTTTTAATCAAATAGAAAAATAAATTTTAGTAAAGAAAAACAATAATAAATTAGTTTATAATTTTTGAAAATATTAACTCTTTTTAAAAGATATTAAATTTCTTTATTTATTAAAAAAGAATAGACAAACCAATAAAATCGAAAAAGATACCTAAAATTGTATTCTAAAACCTCGATGATTACATTCCTTAAGCAACAACTGGGAATGCAAATTTAACCTTTTCACCAGTAATGTTCTTGTAAACAGCTGAGTAAATTGGAAGCTTAGCTTTAACTGAATTCTTTAATTTAGCATCATCAACAGCAACAAAGACAGTTTTAGAGTTAGCAATTTTCTTGTTGGCTAAGGTGACATGAACTCGTTGACCAGCAACTTCAACTGGATATAACATTTCATTCAAATAAGCTTCATGAACAGCCTTTGAAGTTCTTGATCTTGGTTTGTAGTCAGTTTTTCCTGATTGTCCAGTTTTCTTAGTGTGTGCAACAACTCTTTTACCAATGATAAAGACTGATCCATTAAGTTTCTTTTCAAGTGCTTCAATAACTTTTTCGAATGAAGCTCTGCAAATTCTCATCATTCTCAATGGAACAAAAATAACAGTAGCCTTTTTATCTTTGCTAATAGTAACTTTCTTAGCACTAATAACTTTAAGTCCTTTGAGTTCTGGAATTCCAGCAACAGCTTCTTTAACTAATTTTGAATAAGCATCGAATCCTGGTTTTTTAACAACGACTTGAGTAGCAACTTGGGATTTAGCAGTCATCTTGCCAGACATGGTCTCACTGATTCACTTCTCAGTTCAGAAGGGTTGTGCTAATTTTTTATAAATTTTAAGGGTTTTCTATTATTTTTTATTTTTTATTACTTTCTTTATTTAATTCCATTATTCTTTTTTTATTATTCAAGTTTCTATGATTTATGGAAAATTAAGTTTATTTATAAATACATTAAACTTCCCCAAAAATGTATGTAATCAATTCAATTACTTCTCAATGCCTTATAAGGTCCTTTTCTTTTTAGACATCTTTCCCTTTTCTCTTTATATTGGTTTTCAACTTTGATAATCTCTGATAATGTTGTGGGTTGTGTTTTTGTTGATAATGTTTTTTGAGTACCAACGTTTAAAGTGTTTGTTGTTTCAGAATTAAAAAACCGAGATAGAGAATTAATAAAAGTGTCTATTTTTGATGGGGATTGAAAAACATTAACTTCTTCTTGACTCTTTTGATTAGTTTTAAGTAAAGGTGTATTTTCTGTGGGTGTAGAGTTTGGACTTGATAAATCCATAGAACCAGTTAATAAAACAATTTTTATGACTTCTCTTAAATATTCTAATACTTCTTGTTGTCCTTTCAATTAAAATAATTGATAAACCAAAGACTATTATCAAATTTCATCTGAACTTAAAATTCAAAAATTATTTCAATGGAAGAAGGAAAGGTATATGATGTTGAGGTAAAACCAATGGTTAATGATGAAATTATTGTTTTTGAGTGTTTGTGTGTATTTGTTAATAAAACAAGGCATTACAATAATTAGTAGCGAGTGCTGTTGGTGGAGCTGAAACTCTAGACCAACCAGATGTAGATCAAATTCAAATAGAGGTTTGTTAAATTTTAAAGTTATAATATTAATAAGTAAAATTTAATTTTTAGGGACAAACGTATCAAATGGTAAATAAGCCGAATCAAAAAATTCAATTTGTGTTACAATACTCAGACGAAGGAATTCAACTTCATGAAGTGAAATTAAAAAGGTTAGATAAGAAAGGAACATCTCAAAGTGATAATAATCAAAGTATGAAAATGGAAGATGAAGAGTCAGATGCTGATGATTATTTTGGAGAAAATGAAGAAGAGGATGATGAAAGTAATGAAGATGATGATAGTAATGGAGATGCACTTGCCGCATTTGATAAAGCTGATGATAATGAGAATGATGATTTGAAAGATTCAGATAGTGAAGGAGATGATTGAAGAAAAGAATTAGTGTAACAAAGAAGTTATCTAACGTTGAGAAATTATTATAAGAAGAAAAGAAATTAAATTATTATTTTTTATTTTATTTTTGTTAATAAAGAAAAAGATACGATAATTAAATGAAGAAGATATTAATTTATGATTAAATCAAACATTCGATAAATGTAAATATATAAAATCATATTAAGCAATCACACTTTGCTCTGTCGTATTTAAGAGAGTTTTAGTGAATTCATAAAATAAATTTAGGAATTGTTCTACTGAATGATCTTTTGACATTCCAGAAATAACAACTTCATCATTAAATTCTTGATCTATTAAAAGTCAATAAGAACGTTATGTTTTATTACAAAAAATATGAAACAAACCATTAGAAAAGAAAGGTTTTGGAAATCCCCATTTATCATTAATTGGAGAATTAACTTTAAATATTAATATAGTTCTTGGGTCTTTATATAACGTTGATAATGCACTTGATACCATAATTTTATCTTCGAAACAATCATATTTAAAAAATGCATTTGCATTACAGTATTTGGCAATGTCATGTAATAATTGTTCAAATGATTCTGGGTATTTAGGATGTTCTTTTATCATCCCATTTATATTTTGAGTATTATTTTCATAAATCTTTAAAACTTCTTTTTTATGTTCATCAATTAAACTTGGTTTTTGTGGTGATTCCATTATTTTTTTATTTTCTTTTTTCTTCTTTCTTCCTCCAGACCCAACACTTCCAGTCTTTGATTGACTGTCTTCTTCTTTAATACTTTTGCTATAAGGCTTTTTTATTAGCTGAGGAACTATTTTTTGTTGAATAAATGGAGGAGTTTGTGTTATTGTTTGTTTCATTTGAACATTTGGTTGTATTTGTGTAAGAATAGGTTGACCAGTTTGTTGTGGTAATCCTGTTATATTTATTTTATTTGTAGTTAATGGATGAATAAGGTTTGATGGAGTCAAAACATAAATTCCTTTTTGTTGTTGAGGCAATTGTTGAGAATTTAATTGAAGAATACGTGAAACTGGGACTTGTGTTGGTTGAGGTTTAAATGAAAATCCTTGTTGTATTTGTTGTGGCATTTGAGGTAGTTGGTTTGGTTCTTGTTTTGTTTGAAGTTGTTGTTGTTGAGGAAAGGAACTTTTTTGTTGATTAGGATGATTAAGATTAAAAGTTAATTGACTAGACGGTATATTTATTGGTTGGTTTGTATTCCTTTGGGTTATTGGTTGATTCAAAGGTTTAGAAATATTGTATCCAATTTTTTGAGTTGATAAATTACCATTAGTACTAAGAATAAAATTACTTGTTTGCTTTTGGTTAGCTTGTGAAATAGTTATTGGTTGAGTAGGAATTTGAGGGTGGATACTTGGAAGATTATTTTGTCCATTAGAATGGACTTGAGTAGGAACTATTTCTTGTGCAACACCATTGCTAACAAAGAATTGTTTAGTTCCTTGAGGAGTAATTGCTTGAAAGAGTTGAACTTTTTGGTCAAGACGAAGTTGACCATTTTGAGTTGTAATAAAAGGAGTAACAGGGATAATGCCTTGAGTTTGTTGAAGTTGTTGTAATTGACGTAATTGTTGTAGGCTGATACCAGTTTGAATTGGTTGGTTTTGTTGTTGAGGGAGAGGACGAGTTTGAGTATTATTAACCCTAGACAAGTTTTGAATTTGTTGAAAGTTTTGATTTGAGATAGTATGAAGGTTAGGCTGTATTTTTTGAATTGTTTGAGGAAGAGTTGTTTGAGTTTGTTGTTGGAATCCTTGCCTATTAATTGATTGATGAGAAGTAACTAATTGAGGTGCATTAACTAATTGAGGTTTTGAAGTTTGTTGTTGACGAATAAATGAATGTTGGTTTTGTGTTTGAAGTGATTGAATTTGAGAAGGTTCTAATTTGACTTGAACCATGGAAGGGAATATTTGAATAGGTTGTTGAGAAGTCATTTGAACTCTTTGAGAATTGGAAGGAATAGATGATACTAATACTTGATTTATTTGTTCATTAGAAGAAGGTAAATTAGATTTTAAAGCAGAGAGTTGTTGAACACTAGGTAATTTACCTTCACTAATGGAAGGAATAAAAGGAATAATACTAGGAGTCGTTTGGTTAGAATTCTTAAATTAAATTAATATTTCTTTTTTTAAAAAAAGGAATGAATAAAATAAGTTATTTACATTTAACAAAGCATTTATCTACAAACATTAGTAATTACCTTTGGCTTTTTTTCTTCTTTCTTTTCTTTAACTTTTCTCTGTTTCGTTTGTTTAGGCATTTTACAACTAAAAAAAGAGAGTTCTATAATTTTCTTAGAACCCCTTTTTTAATAATTACCATCAATTCCTCTCAAATTTATTAAATATTAAATTTTTTTTTATTTAAATAAATATAAGATATGTTTTATTTAACTTTATGACGTTTATTCTTTCTTTTATAATAATCAATTACTTCTTTGTTATTTCATTTATTTGTTTTTCTATTTCTTGTTCTAATTTCTGACGTTTTCCAAGAAATAGAATTAAATTTAATGCCAATGGCATATAGTCATGTTTTCTTCTTTTATTTTCTTTGTGTTGTTGTTCTTTAATTTTTTTTTCTTCATCAATAATATCTTTATACAATTCTATTTGATATTCTTTTTTCTCAGCAAGAGCATTTTCATATAATTCTTGATATTTCTTAATTTGGTCTTGAACCACTGCTAATAAAGTAAATTCAAGGCTTCCTTGCATAGCATTAATAAGTCCCTCAAAAAATGGTTTCATTCCTGTAATAGGCCAATTCTCGTCAGCACCTCCAATAATAATTGGTCCTTCACTAAGTCCATCAAGTAATAATAAAATACCATTATATGGAATAATACTAATAAAGTGATATGCACGTCCTTCCACTCCTTTTAATTTTTCTGATATTTTATTTTCAAGTGCTTCAGATGGCTGAGCAAAATCGTTATGGGCTTTTCTAATTATTTCATTATTTCCAATAGCCAACCCACGTTCATGAGGACTTAATGGTAGTGTTTGATTTTTAAATTGTTGTAAAGTTGGTCCTAGATTAATATTTGGGATATTCATTAATGTAGATAATATTGCTTGAGTAGCACATGCGTTTTGAACAACTTGTTCAGCAAAGAAAATATCAGGATATTCATTTGTTTCAATAAAGCTATATTCATTTCTTATATAATTTATTGTTTGTTTATTATATTCAAATAATAAAATAAATCCTTTTATTGGTCTAGACATATTAATGTATATTTCTTTCTTTAACAATAATAAAAAAAATAAACTTGATTCGTTCAAATGTAGCAGAGTCATCAAAAGAAAATATTTCTTTAAACTGAATATCATCACATCCTAAATTTTTTACCATTTCATTAAATACTCCAGGGTCAGACTCAATAGTATTCCAATTAAATTTTTCTTTTTCCATTATAGTTGATGTATTATTTATATATTATTGAGTTTTTTCTCTCATTTAAATCTTTTAAATTTTAATACTATTTATTTTTATAAAACAAATTAGATTTTACTTTTTTAATATCATTTTATAAAACAAAAATATTATTTATACTAAATATTATTAATTTTAGTTATTTCACTTTTTTGTATAAAATTGTTTTAAATTAAAACTTTATTTATGTTATTATTTTAGACTTTATTTACAAGTACTTAGTTATACCCATTTTATTTTTTAAATAACTTTTTTAGAAGTATATTCTTTTAAACATTCATAAAATGTATTATTTTTTTTTGTTTATCAATCCTTCTTTGATATTTTATTAACTATTTAGTTATTGTAATAAGAAATTAAGGGTTGCATTAAATAAACTTTTATTAAACGTATTACTATTTTATTAGAGGAGTGGCTCTGTTTATTATTGAAAGTTTTTTATGTTATAATAAAATATAAACCATTTCTTTATAATTGGAATTAATATACTTTTATTAGTAAAATAGTTATAATAAAAGTAAAGTAATTATAAATGATTAACTTCTTCTTATAAATAATATTCTATTAGGTATATCCAGAAATGGAAGAAAATTTACTTTTTTCGGTTAAAATAAATATTAATAACCAAATAGGATTAAATGGTTAATAAATAGTATCAATTAAACTTATTTTTTTTTGTTGCTGTCTTTCTTTATTCATTTAGTATGATAATAAGATGAGGTTATTCTATTATATTATTTAACTGATAATAAAAGTCTAAATTTTATAATAATATAAAAAGTCATATTTTCAACTTCTTTTCAACAAAAGGATTTGTCTGTTTTGGTTAAATTGGAAGTTACTATCATTTAAGAGAAAATTTATGAATAAGTAACTCTGTTAATATCTATAAAGTAAATCTCAATTTTTTGTAATAAATTGTTATTTGTAAATGATTATCAAAAAAGATTTAATCGTTTTATATAACAAATAATTAAAAGAAATAAAAAAAAGAACTTTAAAACCTAAACAATGACTGATAATAAGATTGAAGAAATTGAGAGGTATAAGAAGAGTTTTGTATATTCTGAGTCTGAATATGAATATGTTAGTTCTGCGTTTTCATACGATGGTGAAATTTTTGTTACATCAGGAGGAGATAATACGTATCGAATTCATTCATTAAGTAATCCTAAAGAGCCTACAATATTAAAATCACAACTCTTTGGTTCTGGAATGATTAAATACACTCACCACCCCCATGTTATATTAACTTCCTTTAATAATAGAGGAATATTAAATTCATTAGGACTTCTTTGTTTTGATACAAAAGAGTTTGTTCGTGTATTTCATGGTCATACAGACGAAATTATTTCCATTGACCATAATAATTCAAGTGACATGTTTTTGTCAACTTCTCTTGATTCTCATGTAATGCTTTGGGATCCTCGTGCTAATAACCCATGTACTTCAAATATTTTCTTTGGCAAAATATTTCCAGTAGCCTGTTTTAATAATGATGGTACAAAAGTTGTTGTAATAGAAGAAAATAATGGTCATGTGTTTGACTTAAAAAAATTCCCTTATGAGCCACTTTTTAATTTTGTTCTTCCAACAGAAAGACCTTATAGAAGAGTTACTTGTTCTCTTGATGGGTCTAAAGTTGCAGTTTCATCACCATCAGGTAATATTTTTGTTATAGAAAATTTTGAATCTACTGCCCCCATTATTGTTTGTTATTTTTTCTTTAAAAGTTTTGTTGAAAAATTGACAAGGTTATGCTTATCAAACATAGAGGTCTATCAGTACTAAACTTACTAAAGACTCTCCTTGCATTGAGTTCTCAGTTGATGGGTCTCGTCTTATATTTTCAAGTGGATTTGATGGTAGTGTTAATGTATTTAATTGCATAGAACATACTACAACACCAATGCCTCAAAGTAATCAAACAACAGTACGTTCAATAAAATGTAACTATAAATATCCAATTGTAGCAACAACATGTTCAGTAGTAAATTGGTGGTCGTATGATGATTAACTTAAATTTTAGTTTCTTAGCTTTTTGTATATTTTACAGTTTATAATTATTGAACTTATCTTTCACAACCAATTATTTGGATTGTAATAAATCTTTTTAAATTTTAGGTTGTTTTTATTATAACTGTTTTGCTGTTATAAGAAAAGATATGATAGTAGTATTCTTATAAAAAAATAAAAGTAATAATTTGTAATTAGTTTACTAATTTTATTTCTTAATATAATAATTTCTCTTCATATTTTTTAATCACAATCATTTAATGTCTATGAAAGGTTGTTTCTCAATAAAATGACATGCTTTTTGATAGAAAGAAACAAATGTTAAATACCAAAAAGTTTAAAAACAAGACTTTAGATAATGTATATTCATTTTATTCATTATTTCTAAGGGTTATGAGAAAAAGAAAGACTAGTTATAAAATAATCATCTAATTTAAAAGACTATTAAAATTAAAAGAAAGGTGATTAATATTGAGAATAAATAGAATATAAATGAATTAATTTAGACTATGATAAACAAAATTAAGAGATATATAAATAGAAAAAAGGATAGAAATATTATAATAATAATAGAATGGAAGTATCATATTAAGATTGTTTGACATTCAATTTTTTTCTCAGAATTAATAATAAGAATTAATAAAATAGTTATTTTCTTTGATAATTTGAAGAAAGAATCTATAAAAACACGAACATTGTAAAGAAAAAAAGAATAAAATCAAAGAATAAGTATATTTACAATGCCAGATAATTTGCTTGAGAACAAAACAAGTAATACAATTTAATGTACCAATAAAATTTAAACATTATTACAAATTAATATAAATTCAATATATAAGACAATAATTAAAAGTTAAAATCATAATAAATAAAGTATGTATAATACTCTTTTGAGATATGTTCTCATAATAATATTTATTAAGAAAAAGAAACAATGGAGATATCACATTATTAAAATAATTGATACATTTATTCTATTTTTATATCAATTTATTATTATAAATAATAAATATAAAGTTGTGAATAACAAGAAAAAAAAACAAGAACTAGAAATTACATTACATGTTATTTGAATTAACTCACAAAATATTGTTTAAATAGGAGAATTGAAAAAATACACAGAAATTATATGTCAAATAAAATAGTTTGAAAAAGGATTTTTATAGTTAATCAAAATTTATTCATTTAGCATTTAGAGTATCCATTATAGTCTGTGATAAATATTCATTTAATTATAGTAATTATTTAAACAGAATATAACAAACAATATAATTTTGAATTAACCTGATAATAAATGATTTACAAAAAAAAGTTATTTGAAGTATTTAGGTAACAAAGAATTGAAAGGATGTAATATAGTTTATAATTGAGATGATGTAATATAATTAAGAAGACACATATAATAATGGAATTAGAATATTTTATTGTAAAGATTTATATAATACAAAAGACAAGAAAAAACAAAAGTTTTTTTTAATAAAAGTCTTTGAAAAGTAAAACTAAAACTATGAAAAGAAAGAATAAAAGATGATTATAATATTAATTAACTAAAATCAAATTTTCTTTTAATAAGAAAAGCGGTCAAAAACAAAACAATAACAAGTAGTAAATTTTTCCTTAATAATAATGAGTTTCTTGTTTCTTTAATAAATCATTTAATTGTTCTCTTTCAACCATAATTTGACTAATAATTTTAGCTCGTTCATTCTTTTCTTTCTTAATAGATTCAACTTCTCTTTCAAATCGTTTTTCAAATTCTATTTTCTTTTCTTCAAATTGTTTTTTCCATAATTTGAATTGATTATTCATTTCTTTTAATTTACTTTTTCTAATTTCTTCGTCTTGTTTATAAATTTTTTCTTTTCCTTGTTTATAAGCCATTAACATTTTTTGTTGTTGTTCAATAACCCAAGAATTATAATTTTTTCTCGCTTGAAGAATTCTTCTTCTAATCTCTTTTTTACGTTTTTTAAGTTCTTGAATTTCTTTCTTAGAAGACTCTTCTAACATTCTCATTCTTTGTTGGAATATTTGATATTGTGAAATACTCGGTTTACTTACTTGTCCAACTTTTGTAGCAGAATAATGAATTTGAGGATAGTTTTGTTTGATTTGTTCTTCCCAATATTTTTGTGTGTCAATTGAATATGCCACTGAGATTATTAACAATAAAATCATCTGTAAATTATAAATTATGTTTTTTTTTAAGTTTTTATTTTTATTTTATTTTTTTCTTATTATTTTTTTGTTAATTTTCAATTATTATGGTTTTTTCTTTCAGTATTAAAAAATCTTGATTTGTCTTAATTTTTTACAAGTAGAATTGTGTTTTACTTAATATGAATTCATTATTGTTAAAGTACTTAATAAACTTCTTTTATTCAATCAGTTTTTTATTCTTCTTTTTTAATTTTATACCTCTTTATTTTCATTTGTTGTAATTTATTTGTTTTAAATTGGAAATAATTACTGTTTATTCAAATATTATTCATTTAACAGTCATATAAACCTAACAACTTGTTTTTTTTTCAACCTCTTTATTAAATATATTTATACTTTATTAATGTTTAATCTTCTTAGTCATATGTTATTTTTCTAATTTCATATTAAATTAATATACAAATATTATAGTATTATATTAGTTCATTAATCTTGACACAATATAATTTAAAAACAGAAGTCTCTATTTAATCAGAGTCATAACTAATAATTAAAAAATAAATAACAATATATATTTATCATTAAATATTCTTTGATTTAAAAAGTATTAAAAATTTTCTAGTAAAAGTATTTTATATCAACAAAAATATATTCACAAAGCACCACTTTCATAAAATTTCTTGTAATAAAACAACACTTTTTATACAATATTTGAACCAGCTATAAACCAACTTTATTATAATTTTCACTCATCTTTTAACTTAAGAAACTTAATTAAATAATTAAAAAAAAAATGTTCTATCCAAAACTATCTACAAAAAGAATAACAAAATTTTTATTGAAGAAATAACAGTGTGTTTGGTCCTCTCTTCAGTTTACTATCTACACTCATTTATGAGGGTTTTAATTAAGTTAAGAAATATGAAAAGCATTGAATAGGCTAATATACAATACTTTAAATCCTATTTTAGAAGTTTGAATAATTTTTAAATATGAAAATGGCATACCAATGCAAATGATATATTGTGTGATTTGGCACTTTTCAATGATTAAAGAGGTTCTATGTAAGATGATAGTATGAAATTAAATTATACAAAAGATGACATTAACCACAAAGAATAAAAAGAAGAAAAGAACAACGATTAACATGGACAATTTGTAAATTCAAATATATGAAAAAAAAAATATAAATTCAATTTTTATGATGTGTTGATTATACTAAACCTCTAAAATGAGAAGAATTTTATTCTTCAAAACTTGATACAAAATTTTATGTAGATATCACAAAAGAAGAAATTCATTAAAGTGTAATTCTAGTTATTTTGTCAGGAAATGAAAGAAGAAAAGAACAAAAATACAAGAAATATTTAATTTGAAAGAATGAATTTATATTAATAGTTTATAATATC